TGGGATGGTGCCTGGTGGGTGTCCTGGGAGTTCTGAACATGGGTTATGTAGGTGCTGAATGCAGGATGACCATCAGGGTGTCTTCTGAGATTCGCTGCACCCCACTCGGGTCACACATTAATGTTGGGTTGTCTGTAGACGTTTCATCACTTTTTTTCTCTTCAATCTAACCTGATTATTTTCTGTGTGACTTCAGATGCCAGAAGTGGGTTGAGAACTGCCGTCGGTCTGACTTAGAAGATAAAACTCCCGATCAGCTGAATAAGCACTACCGACTATGTGCTCAGCACTTCGAGGACTCCATGATCTGCCGGAGTGTAAGTACACAGACAGGTTTGTTTTTAGGCCTCATTCAGACAGGGCGTGCACGCCCGTAAAGGGGCCGATCCCGAGGAGGACAGGTGCTGCGTGTAATTGCAGACAACATCCTATTGGACGCAGCTGTACGCTGTCATCCGCACACCCAAACTTGCACATCTGTTCGGGTCCGGTTGTCCGCACTTGGACGCAGACAGTGTCCTTCCAAATGCGGACACCTGGACCCACACGGATGTGCAAGTTTGGATGTGCGGATGACAGCGTACAGCTGCGTCCTCCCATAGGGAAGAATAAGCTGTTGTCTGCAATTACACGCAGCGCTTATCCTTCCCGGGATCCGCCCCTTTATGGGCGTGCACGCCGCACAAGCATGTACACATGAGTAAGTGTCCACATTGGAATATTTCACTGTCTTTTTCTGTTCTGGAGTGGCAGCTCTAAATTTTAGGTTTACCCTCGTTTTCATTCCCAGTGAACATGATGATCCGGACAGTAAGAGAGGCTATGTCCCCTTAGCAGGGGTAATAAAAACATGTCAGATGTTCTAACCCCTCTTCTCTCTCCAAATCTAATAAAAAAAATGTTATACTCTTACTGTCTTTAGTTATACTTTAAAGCCCCACAGCATTCACATTGGTGACAGTATCATGTAATGGATGAGGAAGCAGTGCTGGGTCAGTGACTGAAGACAATACAGTGGGATGCACCGATATATCAGCTGCCGAAACATATCGGCCGAAAATGGCACTTTTGGCTAATAGCCGAAAATGCCATTTTCCTGCCGATACATCGGCACATCCCTGCTTTCTTTCCTACCCCCGCTGGGCGCTGTGGGCAGCTGGCGTCTCTCCTCCCGCACCGCTCAGCCTCCTGTCACAGTCCGGCAGAGTGGTGTGGGGGCGGAGACAGACAAGCGCTGTCACAGGATGCTGAGCTCTCCTTCCTGCACCGCTCACTCAGCCTCCTGTGACAGCGTGTCAGAGAGGAGAGCGGTACAAGCAGTCACTGATCAGTGATCGCTGAGTGTTTGCAGATAATTGAGGACATGGTATGTTGACTATATCCTCAATTATGAATGAATGGGAAGTGATCTATATCCCCTCCTGTCCATTCATGATTGTGGTTATAGTAAACATACCATGTTATCAATGAACAGGAACACTCAGTATAGAGGATTCCTGTTCATTGATATCAGGGGATACAGAAAAAGAGATTGAGGACTCTGTGTCCTAAATCTCTTTTTCTATTTTAAAAGGGAAATATCAGGGATCTGTTTAGAGCCCCAATATTTCCCCGAGGCCCTCAAAGTAAAGTAAAAAATTAAAATTTTATAAAAAAATTATTACATTAAAAACATTTTCAGTTTCGCCCCCTGACAATTTTTTTTATTTCGGTTTTGAAATGTCCATTTCGGTGCACCTCTAGTAGGCACCATTATATTTTTGTCTGAAGGGTTTGAAAATCTAGCCTGGCAGACTAGGAGGATTTCACTTTTGGGGTGGGCAAAGTGCAAAATTAGGGTTTACATTATACTTTAAAGAGGAACTCCGGGAATTGTAAAAACTAACCCTTGCAGTGGGGCTACCCCCACCCTTCAAGGGTTAACTGCTAGTTTTGGTTGCGGGGCCAGAATAAAGATTTACTCTCCTGATCCTCGGCCCTGAGACGGTCAGCATCCTCACGTCCAATGCAGCTGATATCGCACTTCCTTAGAGCACTTAACCCTTGCAGTGCAGGTGTAGCCACACTGCAAGGGTTAGTTTTCACAATTCCTGGAGTTGCTTTTTAAAGCAGAAATAGCCAGAACTATGTGTTAACCCTTTCGCTGCCAAGACCTTTTTTGCCTTGTTTGCACACGTTACAATCCACATTTTAGGCCTGAAAATTACTTTTAACCCCCAAACATTAAACATATTGTATAGACCCTGCAGAATAAAATGGTGGCGGTTTTACGTTGCACAATATTAGCAGAGCTCTTTATCGAACCCCAAAATGTAGTAAAAATGCACTTAAAGGAGAACTATGAGGAGAGTGATTTTCACTCATCCTCATAGTTCGAGCCGACCTGTGACAATGAAACTCACAGGTTGGCTCTATACATCAGGAAGTGAGCGAACACATACCGTCGCTCGCTCACTTTCCGATCATCTCCCTGCAGAGAGTGGTGACTGTCACTCACGGCTCCTCACAGGGATTCCTCCCTCTGCCCTCCCCGCTCCAATCCTCCAGTGCTGGTTGGAGGAACAGACGGTGAAGGGGGCAGGCATAGCTGGCTCTGCCTCTAGATAGGTAGAGCCAGCTGTCAAATCAGCCAGATGGGTGGATCTCGACAGTATTGTCCTGATCCGTCCAGGCTGCAGCCCTCTCAGTATATAGCGAGCTGTATCCCACTATATACTGAGCTTTGGGTCACGGGGGGAGGTTAGTATATGTCCTCCCGTGACCCTAAAGAGAACTATGGGATAAAAAGATTACCCCATTGTTCTCTTTTAACCTCCCTGGCGGTATGATTTTTCTTTTTTGCTCCTATCTGTTTTTCGTTTTTTTTTTTTTAACTTTTAAACTTCCCGCCGGTTCCGCCCCCCCCTGCGACGCGGACGCTCGCAAGGAACGGAAACCCGGAAGACAGATGCCGGCATCGGCCGGAGGACACAGCTGGGATTGCGGACAAGGTAAGAGACGCTACGCTGTATTCCCGGGTGTGGTTCGGGGTTACCGCTTATGGTACAGAAAATTACCCCCCGAGCCACACTTGGGAATACCGCCAGGGAGGTTAACTTAATGTTAGTGCCCAAAAACAAAATATTATGATGCAATTTTTTTAAATTAAATATAAAAGATGAGGTTATGACCAGTAAATAGTTGGCTAACATGCCCAGGTAAAAAAATAGTTTGTCTGTGAAACGGCAACAAAATACAGTACTCCAAATTGTCCATAGATGACGCTTTAAAAGCCCATGCAGGTCATTAGTTTGCGAATATTGGCGCTAGAATTATTGCTCTCACTCTGCCGCACTCGGCGATACCTAATGTTTAGTGTGATTTGTCATTTTCGTACATAGGCACCCAAAGCGTGTTTAAGTTAATACGCTTGCGAGGGACTTTATAAAAAAAAAAAAAGTTTTTTTTTATTTTTAAATTTCTTTTATTTTTTATTTTTACTTGCCACAACATAAGAGGACTTACAAGCCCCCTTTGTGATGGCATATTAGTGCTGACAGATCCTCTTTAAAGTGATATTAGGGGTCAATTAGACCCATAATATCACCTTTGCGCTCCAAATAGGCTACTGGGGTGCAGATTGCGCTCCAATAGCGTATTGCCCGGCATCTGCAGCTTGGCAATGACAGCTGGGGGACTGGAAGTGATGCAATCAGCGTCGCTACCGCTCCCATAGAACAGATGTTCGTCCATCTCCTTACCTGCTTCCCGCCGACACCTGACATGCTGGTCCCGGGTCTGCGGGAGGGGCAGCGGAGCCCAGGAAGCAAGGCGAGGGTGTCGGGCAGGGTGGAGGGGGGCAACCCCTGCACCGGCCCCTGGAAGCTATCTGGCAGCAGCTCAGCCGACAGAATCGCTTCCAGTATAAAGCCGACATTCGGCTTTACGAATGTAATGGGAGCCTGTTTATAGGGGCTGGCTGCCAGCGACCTATGAGTTACGTTGGTGGCAGCGAAAGGGTTAAAAGCAGAGGTTTTTGTAGCATATATTTGCAGTAAATCTATGAGGAAGCCTGACTTTTTCTGAGATGTAATGTTCTCATTAAACAGGCCATACCGAGGGTCTCCTCTTCCCGAGTTAATCTCCTCGGTATTGTGAGGCCAGGCGTTCTCTGTTTTCTCTCCGGGGCTCTGCAGATTCCATCTTTGAAGATGCTCCATTTGAAAGGAATCAATAAATTGGGCATTTTTCATTTAGGTCATTGGGAGTCAACATGAGAGGGAACGCGACATCTGCTCCTCTTCTTTTAATTTAGGGAAATAATAGATCTTTGTTTCAATTAATAATTGCAGGGATCATCAGCAGACACTTCTCATTAACATCATTGAGGCCAAATGTATCCGCTTTGACTGCTTGATTGATTGACACATCAGGGAGGTCAGCGGTGATCTGGAGCAGATGTCTCGTGGCATGTTGCCTGGATGCTTCCACAGCCATGTGTCGGCATGGCATTCATCTTAAAAAAAAAACCAAACAAATGTGGCGTTTTATTAATAATATGCGGCATTTGTTTAAATGGGAAACCAAACGGATTTACCAGAATACAATTTGTTGGGTTGGGTTGGGTTGGGTCGGGGTCTAGCAATGAAAAATGGCTCCTATGGCTCTTGTTATCGAATGATGTATTCATTCCAGAATGATGCTGTATGCGAGGCCCTTTAAATTGAACCCGAACTGAGCAAGTGAAGTTTTGTTAGCTTATAGGGAACCTCTAGAAATGTTGTTGTGCCTAAGCAGTGTCTCTGAAAGATTTACCTGTTGTCTTGAATTCTTCCCGAAATTTCGTACACTTCCTGACATGTGGCCGGGCCTAGGCACTGCTGTCCTGTAGCATCATCGAGGGATGCCGGCCCAAAAGGGTGCCGACAGCGCCACTCATTGTGTGAATTTGGGCCAGTTCTTCTAGAACCGACCAAAATTTGCATGGTGTATGGCCACCTTAAGGCCTGGTTCAACACCTAGTGATTTTGAGCAATAGGAAAAGCACTTTTAAAACACCCAACACAAGAAATCCCGTGATTTTCAATGGCACCTGAGCAGCCAAACGCCTGAAAAGGTACCTGAGCTTCTTTGGGCGATTTAATAGCGCGTTTGTGCCCCATAGACTTCAATGGAAATGCCTGAAAGTGCGTGTTTTTGCGCGTTTGTATAAGCGTTCGTCTATTGCCCGCAATGTTTCTTAAGCTGGCAGTCAAAACGTGCATCAAAATGTGCATAACGTGCAAATAACCGCACGCTGAACACGCGCAACAATTATGCCATCTGGGTGTAAACCCAGCCTAAAGCACTGCCTGTGACTGCTAGTCTCATAAGATTAGGTGATGTCACTCCAGTGGAGGAGGAAGCAGTGCTGGGTATACAGTGACAGTGTGTGTATTGTCATATAATGAGGAGGAAGCAATGCTGGGTATAAGGTGACAGTGTGTGTCTTGTCATATAATGGAGGAGGAAGCAGTGCTGGGTATAAGGTGACAGTGTGTGTCTTGTCAGTTAATGGAGGAGGAAGCAATGCTGGGTGTAAGGTGACAGTGTGTCTTGTCATATAATGGAGGAGGAAGCAATGCTGGGTGTAAGGTGACAGTGTGTGTCTTGTCAGTTAATGGAGGAGGAAGTGCTGGGTGTAAGGTGACTGTGTGTGTCTTGTCATATAGTGGAGGAGGAAGCAATGCTGGGTGTAAGGTGACAGTGTGTGTCTTGTCAGTTAATGGAGGAGGAAGCAATGCTGGGTGTAAGGTGCCTGTGTGTGTCTTGTCAGTTAATGGAGGAGGAAGCAATGCTGGGTGTAAGGTGCCTGTGTGTGTCTTGTCAGTTAATGGAGGAGGAAGCAATGCTGGGTGTAAGGTGCCTGTGTGTGTCTTGTCAGTTAATGGAGGAGGAAGCAATGCTGGGTGTAAGGTGCCTGTGTGTGTCTTGTCAGTTAATGGAGGAGGAAGCAATGCTGGGTGTAAGGTGACAGTGTGTGCCTTGTCATATAGTGGAGGAGGAAGCAGTGCTGGGTGAGTATGCTGTATATAAGGTGACAGTGTGTGCCTTGTCATATAGTGGAGGAGGAAGCAGTGCTGGGTCAGTATGCTGTATACAAATGTGCATAAAACGATGCCACCTAGGTGTGAACCCGGCCTAAGGCACTGCCTGTGACTGCTAGTCTCCCAAGATTAGGTGACGCCATGCCAGTTGCTCACTGTTCTCCTTGCTGGAGAGGAAGCTGAACCTGAAGACCTGCAGTGCAAGAATCCCCCCTTCCTTGTTCTGCTTCATTCATTTTGTGGACCTGTCTCTCCAACACGAGGAAGCAAATCCCTGTGCCTCTACCAAGATGGCCGCCTCCACAGAGAAAGCGCTTGGAGCAAAGCATCCTAAGTCTGTAATGGGGAGAATGTCAACTGCAGGAGGCCTACAGGCAACACTGGGGATTGGTCCTTTGTGCTTAGCGTGTGGTCTTTGGGCACAGTTTGGTCAGTAAAGGTTCCTCTTTAAGACAACAGTGTATACAGTTTGGCTCTTGAATTTGATCTGACTGGATGTAGATAGTGCTAGTTGTTGACGTTTTGTCTGTATATAGAGCTGCATATCAAGTGTAATGGTCTTTGGGCAATGTGCTTATATTATGTTTCTCTTCAGAGCCCGTATAGGACGGTGCTGCGGGAAAATGCCATCCCAACCATATTTGACCTGACGAGTCATCTGGGGAACCCGGGCAGACAGAGGAAGAGGATAAAAGAACTGGTGGGTATTTTATTACTCTTTAGTTGTCCATTACAAGTTTCACTCAGAATTGCACAGTGCACTGCGCCAGAATCATTGTCTGTACAAATGGAAATGACTGAGTGGCCAAGTTCCAGTGGAGTAAATGGCTTCCAGTTGCAGGGATGAGTGTCATTTTGGCTTTTTTTTTTTTTTAGCTCTTTGATTTCTCATCTATTGGCTTCAGTATTTGCTATTCAGTAGGGATGCACCGATACTAGTATCGGTATCGGTGCTGATAGCGAGTATTTGAGCAAGTACTCGCCCAAATGCTCCGATACTTTTCCCGATACCGGAACTTCAAGTCAGAGGAAGATTTCCTCTGACCGGCAGTGCCATAGGGGAACATGACATCGGCTTCCCGGGCAATCAGATCAGTCGGCTCCATGCCAGCGGAAGCATCGGTATCGGTGAGTACCGAAAGCAAAATATTGGTACTCGATACCGAAAAACCGTTATTGGTGAATCCCTACAACTCGGCAATATTCTTTTCTAGTATCCTTATTGATAGCAATTTGATTTTTGCCATCCGAATGGGAAGCTGGAGTTTGCTTATTTAACAGCATGTTGATCCTAAACTGTTCCTCCAGGCAAAAATCACTTTTTAGCATAAAAATAGGTCTCCCCAAAAGTTATTTCAGTGCCGTTAAAAATCTGCCCCCTTTTATTTAACCCTTTTACTGCCATGGATGTAAGGGTTATGTCGGAACAGAACTGCTTGCAAGAGGCTGGCTCAATAACCTGTAGATATGCTAAATTTTTACAAAAACAGAACTTTGAGGTGCCCATACACGTGGTCGAATTTCGTCCAGTTTTTATTGCACCAGCCGAAATTCGCACAGTGTTTGGGGCTGTTGGCTCCCCTTCAGCCGGCATTCCTCAATCAGCTGATCGCAGGAGCCAGCTGAGAATTTTCGATGGATCAGAGCCGGCAGCCAATAAGCTGCCCGCACTGATCTGATATTCTAACATGATGGAACACAATGCAAACAGCAGCAATTCCTCGATCTACTCGCTGTTTGTGTCGATGGAGGAATCGGGTCCGTTTTTTTCGCTCAGCCCGTGGGTTGAACGAAAAAAATTGATAAATGTACGGCCAGGTTAAGGAGCTAAGAGCATTTCTGGCAAATCAACTGGTATTTCTCGTTACTTGTAGGGTCATTAAAGGAGAACTATGAGGTGAGTGAAAATCCTCATAGTTCCAGCCGACGTGTGACAATGAACTATCACACGTCGGCTCAATAGATCGGGAAGTGAGAGAACACATACTGTCGCTCGCTCACTTCTCGATCATCTCCCTGTAGAGAGCCGTTCTGTCACCGCTCCCTGCAGGGATTCCCCTCTCCGATACTCCAGCGCTGACTGGAGGAACGGACGAGGAGGGGGCGGGCACAAGTGGCTCTGCCTCTAGATAGGCAGAGCTAGCTGTCAATCACGCAGCTGGGTGGATTTCAACAGAATTGTCGGGATCCGTCCCGGCTGCAGCTGTCTCAGTATACCGGGAGCTGTAGCTCGTAAAATATACTGAGCTTTGGGTGACGGTAGGAGCTTAGTATATGTCCTCCCATGACCCTTAAGAGAACTACGGGGAAAAACATTTAACCCATAGTTCTCTTTTAAAGGGATAAAAATGGTGAAATGCGCATGTGTTGCAGAAATGTACTTTTTTTATTTTTTGCCTTGACATTCACCGTAATGTTTGTTTCTTTTTTAGAGTGAAGAAGAAATCAGGACATTAAAAGAGAGAAAACGTAAGTTCCCTAAAACTGGATCTCTGAGTGACGACTGGGTTAGTGTTAGAGTTGTAAGACACCCAGAAGCAGTATAGAAAGACCTATTTAATTAGGCAGGTAGCAAAGGGCCAATATGCACCATCAACCTGTCCAGTTAATCTTTGAATGGCCCACTAGTGAAAATTAATTGGTTGCTATGAGTTCTGGTACATTACACCCCATAATTTTTTTTGGGGGGGGGGTGTTGAATGAAAAGTTTACATCAGTCTGATGAAGATGGATATATTTAGACATAAATATAATATAGCAGAAGCTATTTTAAAAGGCAGAGCTACAAACACTATATTGGTTTTTAAAGGCTTACTTTTGGGGGGGGGAAATAGGTCGCCAGCTGTCTTGAAGGGGAGAAAAGGGGGAAGGTTTGGCAAAAAACGTTTTAAAGTTTTTTTTTTTATAAATCTGAACTCCAGACAAGCAGATGCAAACATAAAAGTTGTAACATGTAAATCAAATTCTATATGTTGTATATATGTGTTAAATTGTAATCTAGGCACCCCTGCCACATGACATAGCCAGGCACAGGGCCTGTATGCAGGCTATACTGTGTTTGAGCGATACAGTGGTACCTCGGTTCACGAATGCTTCTGTTCGCGAACAGGAAGTTCAGCAAAATGTTGCCTCCGTTCGCAAACTCCGCTTCGGGTGACAAACACAAGCGCAGCCATTTTCCCTGCTCTGACACATGGTCATGGCTTCCTCTAGTCGAGATCACAGTTTGATTCGGTTCACGACCAAATCGGTTTGCGACCAGAATCGCGGAAGAATTAAGTTCGTGAACCGAGGTACCACTGTATAGCCTAGTCCAGGACTTGCCCCAGCCTATGGTTGGGCAATAAAGAATTACGGTATAGTAATGATGTTGTCCCTGTGCTAGCTCCCATCCTGCAGAGATGTTCATATTTACAGAGCAGTAGAGCCGTGACAGGCAACCTTTAGTCTGTAATTGTGGTGTAGCTTTCTTCAACATCTGACTCTGCTGTACTGCTGTTTCCCCCCCTCTTCTGGCCCAGCAGGGCGTCCGTCTGCAGCCTGTTAAGTGTCCAGCTCCCGGTGCTGTGATTGATGGTAGGAAACAGGTTGAGTTTTCTCTGCCTGTGCAGAGCATTGGAACTGGGTGCTGTGACTGATAATGTGCAAAGCTTCACAGGCAGCAGTCAGTCACCTTGATGATGTCAAGGGCAGTACAGGGCCTACTATGAAATGAAGAGCCGTATGTAGTACAAGGCCTGCCTGTAGGACCAGAGGTTCCTTTACTAGCGTTCACAAGCGGTTTTATGTGCATTGTGTTTTTATATTTAGTTGTGGCGTGAACAGGACACATAGGAAACAATTACATACAAACTACATACATAAGCATTTAAAACCTTGACAATTTATTGATAACAGGACTTGCATTAGGTTGATCATGGTATGCCTAGAAATCTGTCAAAAGACTGTCATTGCTCATTAAAGGAGAACTATGAGGTGAGTGCTTTTCAATGAGACTGTCACAGGTCGGCTCAGTAGATCGGGAGGTGAGCGAACACATACCGGCGTTCGCTCACCTCTCGATCTGGATTCCCCACTCCGATCCGCCAGCGCTGACTGGCGGAACAGATGGGGAGGGGGCGGGTACAGCTGGCTCTGCCTCTAGATAGGCAGAGCCAGCTGTCAGTCACGCAGCTGGGCGGATCCCGGCACAATTGTCGGGATCCGCTTCAGCTGCGGCGTCTCAGTATACTATGAGCAGTAGCTCCCGGTATACTGAGCTTTGGGTGATGGGAGGACGCTAGTTTGTGTCCTCCCGTTACCCTAAGGAGAACTATGGGGAAAAGCCTTAACCCCATAGTTCTCCTTTTAAGTGCTATATTTTATAAGTTACTCGAGTGAGGATGTTACATTCAGCACAAGCTGTTTTCGTTCCATTGCACCTTAGCAGGCAAGCTCATATGAAGATGGTTTATAGCCTTTATCTTCGTCTATCCTGATTATGAAATATATTTTTACTCCTAATTTATCTTAATTGTTCTAGTTTCAGATGGAGTTATTTGAATGAACTGTCTTTCAGTTTGTGTTTCATAGAACATCTGTAGACTTAATTGGTAAAACAGCACAAGAAACAAAGACTCCACCGAAATGAAAACTTCAAAACCGAAATTAAAAAAAGTCAAACCGAAAATGTTTTTTTATTTTAACTTTTTCAAATTGTTTTATATTTTAATTTTTTTATAAACTTTTACATTTTTTATATTTATTTTACATTTTTTATTAAACATTTTTATTTTTTACTTTTAGGGGCTTTGGGGGTCTAAACAGACCCCTGATATTTCCCTTTTTTAAATATAAAAAGAGAATGAGGACACAGAGTTTTCAATCTCTTTTTCTGTGTCCCCTGTTATCAATGAACAGGAATCCTCTATACTGAGTGTTCCTGTTCATTCATAACTTGAGGACAGAGTATGTTTACTATAACCACAATTATTAATGGACAGGAGGTGATGTAGATCTCTTCCCATTCATTCTTAACTGAGGATATAGTAACCATACTCTGTCCTCCAATCATCTGCAAACACTCAGCGATCACTGACTGCTTGTAGCCTGCTCTTCTCTCTGACACGCTGTCACAGGAGGCTGAGCGAGCCGTGCGGGGAGGAGAGCTCAGCCTCCTGTGACAGCGCTGGCTGTCTCCGCCCCCACACCACTCTCCTCTGATCTGTGACAGGAGGCTGAGCGGTGCGGAGAGAAGAGACGCTGACCGCTCACAGTACTCTCCTCCTGCAGCGCTCGGCCGCCTGTCACAGAGCAGCGCCCAGCGGGGAGTAGAGAAAGAAAAGATGCACCGCTGTATCGCCCAGAAAATGGCACTTTCGGCCGATATGTTTCGTCGGCCGATATATCGGTCCATCCCTACTGCAAAGTGCGGAATGTGCAAACTAGAATCTTATGTTCTATCGGTCTGACTTCAGCAAAGTGCTTTGCTCTGTTTGCTGTTTATAGAATAGGACCATATCTTGAGCAAAAACCACGTTTGTATTAATGACGTTTTATGTTATTCAAACATATTCGTTTGGAACTATAGTGAGGAATAAACATTGATTTGATTAAATGCATACTACCCTCAAACTGCATTCGTTATATTTTGTCTGGTGCTGGGGAAAGTGTGCACTGGATGCAGATCTGTAATACACCTTTGTCTTTATGTAAATTTGCGCTTTTCTGGTATCCCAACCTACATGACTTTCCTTCATCTCCACATTTTCAGACCCTGACAGTTTAAACCATATGCCTTCATCAGTGTCGCACCCTTCATGATCATCACCCTAGCTGTTCATACATTTAGACACTATACTCCTACTGTACTCTCACCAAACCATATTCGAAATTGCATCGTCAGTAGCTTGACCTTTTAGAGATGCCTTGACTCTGTTTTTTAAAACTGGGTAAGCAAATGTGCAAAGAAACGCATAGAAATAATGAGGTGCGTTTTTTGACGCCGCTCGCACCGTATTTCCTGTTTGTTCAGGAACAGAAATGGTGTTTGGATTGAATCACAGTTTCGACACGGCTTCAAAGACATTCGTTGATATTGAGCTTCTGATAGCGCTCGTGCGCCTCCGCCCCGAACTGTACGATCCGCAGAACGCAGCTTACGTTGACCCGCACGAAAGAATCAAGTTGTGGCATCAGATCTCGTCGGAGATATTCGTGGACTGGGACGACCTGAACCCTTTACAGAGATCAATGAAAGGTGGGTGTTTTGCATCATTCTTTTTATAATGTCTGAGTAGAGTATAGTATTTTGATGTGTTTTACTTATGGGTGATGTTCAGTGATGGCCCTGAATGTAAAGCCTTTTTATGGGGAGAGGGATACAGATGGGGAATATTTAGAACTCCATGCCAGGGTATAATGTTTTCTCTTTTGCATTTTGCAACCTTTTAGTTTTGGATAGAATGTGGAAGAGTTGAGCCTCCTGTTAAGTTGTTATTGCTGTCGTCACTAGGTTTGTCCCTCCATTTGTACTGGTAACCACTGTCGCTGAGAAAGGTGTATAAAAGTGGAGAAAAATCCAACATTTTTGAAAGTAGTCGCCAGAATGGAGGCAACTTTTCCTACGGGAACACATGTTCTGGGGACAGCCCCTGTTACATTTAGGGGCTTATTTATAAAGTGGGTAATGCTCGATGTTTTTCTCCCTTGAAGAAATTCTTCTCCATTGCAAGAGCGTCGGGTGTTAGGGGGTCCTCCTCACAAAGGCACAGACATCTCCCTCTCCCTTCTCTTTTTGGCCTACTTCAGCCACTTTCTTAGCTATTGTGAGTCTAGTTCCTGAACATTCTAACATGTCTGCCTCTCTGGTCAGGTAATCACTGGTGTGACAAGTTGGCCTCTCTCATTAGGTGGCTGTTAAGGATTCATCTACCCATATCAAGGGGACTTCTATTATTGGAGAATCCTTCTCTCCAGTAAAGGTGGTTCCATCTACATCGGTCTCCTTGTTTGGACTCGGTTGGATGCCATCGAGGTGCTCCTGTGTTTTCACCATTAAAAAGGAATAGGAGTCCTTCCTGTGTTGGGATAGGTAGTCTGATTCCTGCCCAGGATTATACTGTGAGTCTCATGCTCACTGTTTGGGCAACCACCTGGAAACCAGTTCCTCTCAGCTGGTAGCCTCTGAACATAGAGCAGAGGTTCACATTTCTAGGTGTGCCTCAGGCCCTGCAAGGCAGGCCAAACTCATTGGAGGAGGCCCCAGTGCCTGGATTGTTGGCAGGCAGAGCACACTAGTCGACTGTTTCTGGTATCCTCTGGCAGAAACAAGGAATGCCTTAATGATTACGGGGGACCTATCGACCTAGTGTTGGATCCTCTTTCCTTGGCTGGTTCGTATCAAAGTTGGTCTTTCAAGGATTTTCCTTGTTTCTGCCTTCAATCAAGTTAATGATCTTCACTGAACTGATAAGATTACTGTTGCTTAC